CATCTTCATCCCTGAAAGTGACTGCTGGCCTGCAGATGAGTGTAAACTGCCGAGTCTTGGCCTGAAGATGTTGCTCTTCTGTGCTGGGCCAAAGAGCAACATCATCAGGCCAGGAGAACTCTGTGGTTTACACTCATCTGCAGGCCAGCAGTCACTTTCAGGGATGAAGATGTGCACATCCTTGATAGAGAAGTGTTGGTTTGAGAGAGGAGTAAAGGAAGCCATCTTTGTGATGAGAACTCATCCATCATTAAACAGGGACAGAGGCCTCTGTGTCCAACTGTAGCCCTCTTACAATGCTGTTATTGCTGGTATCTCTCAGCCCCCTGTGAATAGCAAACAGCCTAGAGCACTAACGATCCATTGTTAGGCTGATGATGGTCCTCCTTTATCATGTTAACAGCTAGTTCTGGATGTCAGCAACAAACTGGTTGATCCACTATGAAAAGAGGTTATTTGAAACTAAGTTTGTTGCAGCTTCTCAAACTGACAGTCTTTTGGATTAAAGACTAAACGTTTCAACAAGTTGTTTTTTTTTTTAATCTGTCCAGAGGACCTGACTTAACTTTTTTAGATTTTCTACCTGGATTATTGAGGATATTTTGTGTATACCCTTCATTACTCCAATAAATTATCTGAATATTAAAATCCTTTTATTACAATATTTTATTTAAACTTTATTTTTTTTTACAAAAGTGAGTAAAAATGTGTTTAATGTTTAAAATGTGTTTGATTTGATGGAGAATAAACAACACATCTGTAGTACAACACGATCTCTCATTTGTTGTATGAAACTATGATTGACTGTCATATTCCTAGTGATTTTAAAAGGCTTATGCATAGCAAAATATAGGGCAACATAATTTCAGTTTATGTGATTTGAGGACGGATTATTGCACCACAGAAGAAAGATTTATGTAGGTATTCAGTTAGACGTGTGCAAACAACATGCATTCAAAGTGCGCTCAATTGAACTCAGTCTTGGTGGTTTGCGTTAATCAGGTGGTGGTGGCCTGGGATGGTATCAAAATTCCCGGCCTGGATTATTGTCCCAGTCCGCCCCTGGCTACAAACATCAAATATGCTGCACTCAGAGGACTTATCCAGCTCTGCTGTCAGCCGGAGTTGAAGACTGTTAGGATTTTGTCTGTGTGAGTGGGATTATTAAAACTCTGGAAAAGTAATCTGCAGCACATCTGCAAAGATTACACAGCACTTCACTTTTTCCATGTTTTATTTTACAGTCGTATTTCAAAACAGATTAAATTCATTCAACGTTAAAAATGTTAGATTTTTTTGCAAGTTTATTAAAAACATTCAATAAAAATATAACGGGCATTAGTGTTTTCATTCAACCTTCATTTATACAGGTTGGTCTCTGAGTCACGAGGACTCATTTCATGACAGTGGAAGGACAGGATCGTCCCTCAGCACCTACAGTTGGCTGTCCGCAGTGACAAGGAGCTCGGC